ACACACGGGGTCTCGACAATGTGTGTTTTGTGCAATTGTTGCAGCACAAAATGCATAAAAATGCGCACTTATGTGTTTTAGGCGAGTAAACTGTTCGTGATATCGTATAGCATGCTTCTTTGAATTTGTTTTAACCTAAAATTTCGCTTTAGCAGCCAGATCAGCATATCAAAGTAGCGAGCAAGTGTAGTTTGGTGTGGAACGAGAACTTTGGGGACAATCGGATGCTGTGCGTGAAACGTGATGACGTGAAGTACTGGAGTTGCCCATTTCGGATTGACCTGATTAGCTCTTTCCACGTTACTATGAGGTTGCATTTTCTGCTTTTTCTGCATTAACATAAATGTGCAATTAAGTAACTGCTTTGAACATTCATAACCTCGAAATCCTTGGATCGTTCAGTGCTGACTCTAACCAAACTGAACTGTGAAATTCCTCGTGCATTATGTTCCCTCCAGTGAACAGGGAAACCTTTTTATATAGTTATAAAGTCAATATAAGTGCTGTGAGCAAGTTGCCCATATTGCAGAGATGCCGATGAAACACCGCGGTTTCTTCGGGTTGAGGTGATACTTAACAGCGCTATATTTTACATAACGTTCACGGATGCTCGCTATTATCCTCCACCAATACAGCTGGAAAATCTCTCTGATGTGCCTGTTTTGTATCAGCAAAAGATTGACAGGTGAGACAGTACGCCCTTTATATAGTTTGCAGATATCTCTGCAGCAGCCTGCCTGAAGGCCAGCGAAACTTTTTTGGAGGAATTTACTTGTCGCTGTTTCTGCTGCTTGCTTTTTGTTTTCTCGTTTTTGCTTATAGCTTGTTCCATAAAGGCATCTTTAGGATCATTTTGCCTGAGTTTGTCTGAGATGAATAAAACTAACATTGGATGATAAAATGCAAGTAAAGAGACCAAAACCTTTAAAGCCGCTGTTGATTCTCATTTTCAGGAATCAAAAGCATGGACAGGGCATTGTAACATTGTAACAGAATATTAGAAATTTTTTTTCAAAATTTAAAATAAAATTTTTAAAATATTAGAAATATTAGAAATTTAGAAAATATTAGAAATTTAGAAATTTTTTCCTTAAGTTTTTTCCTTTTTTTTTTTGAAATTGCAGCATATATGAAATTTCCAGCAGATATCTCGGACTGAGCAGCTCGCATCTACGGACGATTTGTAAAGCGAGAAGTACGGTGGATTATGCATGGGATGATCCGTACGGGAATAAACTATTGGTTCTTCAAGTGTTCGAAAATAAATCGAACTGCTACGATCCTCAGAAGCCTGGAATGGGACCTCCGCTGGTGTACACGAATGACGTCTACATCAAATACACTCATTCATTCGAGAGGCATGTTTGCTCGCATTTTCTACACCAGGGATTACTTTGTTCTGGCTGCTTAGTTCGATGAGGGATGACCAATCACAATTTTACTAGTTACGAGAATTTTCTTGAAACAGACCAGAGTGCTCCTTAGTGCAAGCTGTAGTGGAACTTGCCACTGGAATTTCTTATATTTTGTAATGGAATCAGTCACAGTATCCTCAGCTAGACGAAGGATTTGATGGAGTGGAAGGCTGCATTTCTCAGCTGAAAGACAAAGATTTGAATTTACGAAGGGGAAAACCAATCACTGCTCTGTTCAGTCATTTGCTTCCGCGGTGAATTAGATACCAATATGTGCCAAGGAGATAGAACCACTATTAATAGCTGTGTAAGCGATTAGTTCCTGTTAGCATTTGCCACCACACTACTTTCGATAGCTTCCACGTCTTTCAAAGTATGTGAGACATAAGTTTTTGAATTTTTATACGTTTTTTGCCGCGCGCTGTAACAGGCAGCAGAAGCGCATATTGCGACGACCCTGTCTCTGTGTGTGTTTATGCGTGCGTCTATGTTCGTCTTTCCGGGTATTTTTACTCACTAACCACGCAGGCTTTGATACTGAAATTTTGCAAATATGTTCCCTGACCAATTGCAACCCCAGGAACATGAAGTCAACTGCCACGCACGTCTACGCCCCACGTGCGGACACGTGGAAGTTTCGGTGGGAAAACTGTTAACTCGGGGAGAGAAAAGCTAGAAGGCTAAAATTTTAAGGGAGCTTATTCATGTGCGACTAAAAGATTTCAAATTCAACCCATCTGATGGGTTTTTTTGTGCACCAACATATTTCCATTTGTCGAGTCACTAAAGCCGACATCTACAGCTGGCATGCCACATAACTGCATAATTAACTGCCTGAATTTTGAGGGCCAGTGTGTCACGAATTCTAGCTTCTGTGATTCTTTACGATCTTGCTACAGCATGAAATAGTGCAAGAACGCATGATCGCACCGGCCTGCCTGGTGCGTTCCAGCCTGGATTTCAATCCCTACGAGTTTATTCGATATCTGTCGATCAGCATCGACAGCTTGATGAATTCGATGAAATTTGCAGGAAACCGGGATATGGCTTTACGGACGAGTTTGAGTTGGCGCTGGAAGTGATGCAAAAGGGGAAAGTAATGCTGAACAAGTTGAATCTTAGTGACAGCAGTCGCAGTCAGTTATGGCGCTTCGCATCCGACGGTTGCCTGGAGAATATTGGAATGAATAATCGTGCAAGACCTGGCGAGCGTTATGTTCTTGATGTGCTGGACAGTGGTGGCTTTGTTCTGATGATGCTGAAACGAAATACCGCAAGGGAACGCTTCCAGAAATGGTACTTCACAGCGGTACAGTTTAAATCCTTTTTCCTCGCATCATGTTTTTATGCGTTTTTTGCAGCAATGCAATGCAAAAAACGCATATTGACGAGAGGTTGTCTGTGTGCGTGTGTGTGTCTGTGTATGTGTGTGTTTGTGTATGTCTGTGTGTGCGCTGGGCCTCTGTACCGATTTTTCATCTCGAGACCGGCAAAAGCTAC